ATACATGAACAAGTAGGCTAGAACAGCAGCTGTGCATGTCTCTGAGATGCATGGTCCAAAAGAAAGCCGCAGACAAACTGCTTTCAGCCTCTTAAGGGCCTGCAATAAAAGCACATTCAGACATTAGTATATGCACCCTCAGCGTCCTAGGGAAGAAAAAAAAATATTTAAGTTCTGATACGGTTTATTAAAGAACCCCCTTTGAGCTGCAGTACAGGTTATGGCTTTTTATTTTTTTAAAAAAGAAAGAAAAAATACCACTACCGAAGTCAGAGTTAAACCCAAACCAAAACAGATTTGGATTTAAAATTGTAAGCATGGCAATGAAACCCTGTGCATCTGTGTTTGATAAGCCTCCTGCAAGTCCAAGTAAGCAGGGGCACAAAATAGACAGAATTTGCTTCACTAATAGTTGGTTGTATACCTTTGGATCCAGGCCAAGTCCTGCTCGGGTTAAGATAATGGAAAGAGCAATATTCCTCAGTGCTGCAGACCAGCGCAGGTTTATCTGGATGATGTCACTGATGACTGGGGTATTTCGGATGAAAAAACCAGCAAGCAACATCCCTTAAAAAAAATTTAACAACTGAACATTCATTTCAAAAGCTGGAAATTGTTCAAAAGGTTCCGAAGTGCACGAAATGCAGGTATCACTGAAAACATAATGCCGAGTTCCTTGGGAGACCTAATCTAAAGAGGCTAATCATGAACTAATAGATTTTAAATTGTTTGACAATGCAACACTTATGCAAAGCTGGGGTGGGGAGAAGGGAAAAAGAAAATCAAGTCAGGAACTTGCTTTTCTTCCCTATTTGATCTACTTCCAGGATCCAACCTTTTACAAATATTAGCTTTGAAGGAGGTCTCTGATTAGACAGTTTTGCCATCTGAACCGTAGTCCTGGAAAGATGCAGGAAAGCATGGAAAAGGATAACTTGAAACTGCAGAGATTCACCACTATAATATCTGACGATTTGAAGATGCATTGTTGTGGCATAACTTCTCATTAGCCACATTAAGAAACGAGAAAGACCAAAAGCTGATACACAGTGTGCTTAGGTAGCTTCAAGTCTGGTAAGAGACCGTAAGCTTTGGCTGTGAATATGATTTGCCCTGGAGCACTCTAAATTTTTGCATATTGATCTTCTTACACCCTCCTGGAAAATAAAACAGTGCTGTAATTAATCTGCAGTGTGTCATGATAATTATGTCAGCCTTTGGGCTAAAGTACTGATCATTGGCCTTAATCAAGGTTTGCATGAAGTCCAGGCCACTAAAGCTGCCAAGATCCAGAAGTCTGCTAAAACCAAAAATCCACCGTAAGAGGATATCTTTACTGTTCTGCTCCAGGTTGTCTGCTACAAAAATCTGTCTGTAGTACATACCTGGAGAGCACTATGCCTACCCAATTGTTTCAGTAGCAGTTTCATTCTGTTTTTCCTCAAGGACTGAGGCTCACTGTGAGGTACACAGTACTGAGAGCCACATTAAACTTCACCTGGTACAGACGAATCTAGGCAAAAATTCTTATGTGAGACTACAATATTTGTATTCTTCATGTTAAAAAGAGTATTCAAACACTTTTTTTTTTCCATTTGACTTAGATTTCTCCAATTTACCTCAAAGCCTGGGAATATAAGCCATTAACTCTATCCTGACCAATTCAACTGACATATGCTGTCATGCTTAAGTTTCTGCTGTTCAATATTACCTATCTGACAAGCAGCTTCATGCTCATCTCATAGCTTTCAGATATAGATGTAATTAAAAAATGCCAGAGTGTACAATTCTCTGGCCCTCGAAGAATTCAAAGAGCCTCAGTAACATTCACACTATTTTACCTGAGCCATTTGGGGAGATTTTGCACCTTCTCTGAAAGAAATTGATACAAATAACTTGGAAAAGCTACACATTTTGAGCCTGAGGCAGTCTGCATGCTCCCAGTTTTAACATATTTAACATATAGATGTCTCCCAACTGTTTGAATGACAAAATTATCCAAGAAGAAAATGAAGAAAGTATATCTTACCAAGAAGAGCAGGGAGAGGAGGCAATGTTGGTATTTTAATGAGTCCAAAAATTTTACCTCCAATGACAGCAAAAAAATAAAGAAACAGAATTCCAAACAGGTTTCCACCTGGGAGGCACTCAGCCCCAGTGACGGACCAAGTCACAGCCCAAACCAGGACCACTGTCACAACTGAAACAAGAAAATAAATATCCATATTTAATAATTTCTCAGGGATGACTCTGTTCACTGTTGGGTCACATCTGTTTACTTAGAAATGAGTTTAATCCTAACTATGTAAGCTTGAATGCTCCCTAAATGGATCTCCTAAAATTATATACATTAAAAAGCTGCAGAAAATGAAAAAAGAAGCATCATTAGGGAACATAAAGGATTGAGTGAGCCTTCGCCCGCTGTGCAAAGCAGTTATCAGGGCCTGAACTTACAATTAAGATTTTTTTTTAAACACTTCTCACATTCATATAGCTGCTTTCTTCTGAAGAAAGACTGCAGTAAAAACCTGCTGCTGTTCAATCTGAACAATGAGGTTTGAATACTTGCCAAAGTATTTAAGCATCATTCTGTGGCTGGATGGGTAGCAACACACTGTTCTATCTATGGCGGGGTGGGGATGGGGGAGAGGGGGAATCTTAAAGCAGGTCCTTTCTCCAGACATCTTAAGGCAGTACAGATTTGTTCTTGATACAGCAAACAAGTGTATTTTCACATTAAGAATTTCTTTATTTCTCTGTGTTGAACCTATCTCAAGTTCCGAAAATGTTATACGCGGAAACCAGCATGCACAGATACACATGTGTAAGAGTGACGGAGTATAAAAAACTGCAGTGAAGAGGTTTATAACCATATAGAATCATTAACGTTGGAAAGGACCTTTGGAGATCATCTAGCCAACCCCCCCGCACATGCAGTGTCACCTAGAGCACGTGGCACAGGGCTGCATCCAAGTGGGTTTTGAAGATCTCCAGAGAAGGAGGTTCCACAACCTCTCTGGGCAGCCTGTTCCAGTGCTTTGTCACCCCAAAAATGTATTGCACTTCCAGACTGGGTTTTTCTTTATCTGGTTATAATAGAAGGTAAAGAAGAGATTAGCTGATTCTCAATTTCAGAAACATAAAACCCCAAATGAGACACAGCAGAGGCCATGGAAACAGTCAAACCCATAAAAAATACCTCTTGTTTGGAAAAGTCAGAACTAACTGGTTAGTCAGACTCTTTTTTCTGTGTGCATCTGCAGTGCAGGGTAGGTTTAAAGAAAGGTCAGTGTGTCTTGGCTTCACAACGCAGAGCACTAAGAAATACAAGGCATCGTTGCAATGCCTTGTGTTTGTAGACTCAATTCCATAACAAATCAGTGTGCTAAAAATGCACTGTGTTTATAATCATATTGCTTTCACCCCAAAAAGAGCAATCAAAAAAGTTAGGAGCTCTTACTTCCGATCAAAACAATTCACAGTGCCACAAACCTATCATGTTTAACATGGAAGACGAATGGAAGAATATTCTAATCTTTGTTCTACTTCAATATTTCTTCTACTAACACGTTGAAAGATGTGCTATGTAAAACAGCTATTTCCCTTCACTACTTTTTCTCAAAAGTCAGACATCATACCCAGAAAATCAAGTACTACTTTGCCATTTCTCAGTTTAGCTAAACATGTTGTGCTGCATTTAACTTACGTACCATTTGTCACTATTTGGGCTAGTAAACCTTGAGGAGGACAGGCAAATATTTGCCTCAATGTTCTTGCAGGTGTTGAAGACTCAGCAATCTGTTCCTGAGGCTGCTGAGCACAATGATTCAAGAGGGCAGTTTCTTCTGTTTGTATGTTTCCGTAAGTGCCTTTGGGGTCCACCGTTGGCCCTTCCTTAATTAAAACAGAAAGACTCACAAGTGGCACTGCATGCATTTGTAGCACTGTACAAGACACCTGCAATCACATGTGATGACTGTATCAATGAATTATTACACTGGAGGCTGGGCCCTTTATTTTTTTATTTATATATTTTTATACATGTATATATACACACAAATACATGTTTATATATACACATACCTATATGTATGGATATACACATACATATACTTTCATCAACATATCTTATAAAAAACAGTATTAACAGGCTGAACTTTGTCTTTTGTCTGAACTAAGTAGTTGTCAATATTTTCTACAGTTGGATAGTGTTTTGGTCCAGAATACTGTGTTGGATTAAACAGAAGAATTAACAATTAGCATCACTCCAGTGAGACAATAATCTGTAATAACACTCCTAATGAACTTCTGTTACAAAGCTTTGAACAAAAACAACATAATCTAGCACTGAGTAAAAAAAAAAAAAAAAAAACCACCACACACACACACACAGCACGGATGGCCGGTGAAAACATTACTCACTTGATCCATTGCTGGAAGGCTCGAACTGTTAAGTCAAGAGATGAAGAAATACTACTCCAGGAGTTTTTCTCCCCTCCTTGATGAAGGACTTCTTCAAACTGCTCTCTTATACTGATTCATCTACTTACCCATATTCATAGCCAAAACATTTTTTTTTGACCATTTTTGGGTATATATTTTGCTTCATTTTACGGTCCTTGTTTCTGACAAGTTAATCAGCCACCTTCCCTTATAATTATTCACCTTCATGTCAGCAGGTTGTCATAGGACAACTATGGAATTCTTGCCTACACTGTGGCTTGGCCTTCAGCCAGTAGTAGTTCCCATTTTCCCATTATTTCTGTCTTGTGTATATATACATATAACGCATCCCTTAGTCATTGTCACAGATGGAACACCAAGTCTTGTGAGCTTTGAGTGAAGAGTTACTTGGTTAACCATCCTGTGACTAGCTAACCATGCTTATAGAAGATACTCAGCACATCTCTACAATCAATATTATATTCTCTAAATTATCTTTTATATTTTATTCTTACTTGCATTTATCACTAGGCTATTTCAAAGTCATCTTTTTCAAAGTTAACTCCAGAAATATCCATATAAAAGTTTAAAATTGTTTTGTTAATTTTAACAGATTAAAAAGTGAAAGATAAAAGGAGATGCACAAACAACTTTTAAACACACTGATAGGCACAATTTCAAGCAGAAAACGAACTCATTCAACTCTTTCCATTCAACTCTTTCATAACTAGCTGTAAAACTTAAACTGATTAATTTTCTAATTCAAGTTGAAATTGCAGCCAATCATTTCCAACTGTCCAACACACTACAGACTTTGACTCAATTTACTTGTCATGTAAAGAAATTCCGTATTGAGGAGAATCCTTTTTACATTCTCTTCAGCATTTTAACAGCTATAGAAAAAAATGTGAAAGCAAAGTTCTTCTGACTAAATCTGTAACTTTGAGACCTAATTACCTTACTTTTGTCATGCATGGGAATCACGATGTTTTTTGCACAAACTGACAGCTCAGAATCTTCATTCTCATTTCCAGTATTCTCTTTTACCATTGTGGTAATCCTATGGAAAACAATAAACACTAAAAGGGTTAAGGAGAAGTAAATAAGGCTAAAGAGAAGTAAATAATAGTCTTTTTAATGATATGGCTTCCTTCCACATGGACCAGATGAAAGACTCACATCCCGATTTTGAATTTCATGTAACAGCTCCTTTTTTTTTTTTTTTTTTTTTTCTTTTTTGCATACCCATGTGTGTTGCACATAAGAGCAAAAGTCACTGTTAGAAAGACTTAATTAAGCTTGTAGAGTACAACAAACCCTCCAGGTTTTAGAAGCATTGTGGTCTGCGCAAGAGAATATAGCTTACATACATATTTTATGCCTTCTACAGAAGGCAATTTGTTGTCAACACCTCTTACCAGGACTATTAGTCCTGAAAGCATCACAGGATCTGTGAACAAAGCAACATAAGTGGCCAAGAAAAAGCATCATTTCTGAAGTACACACATTTTTTTCCTAACTTAAGACCTGAACAATTCCACCCTGATTTTCAAGGAATTATTTCAAGAAAGTGGTTTCTGTTAGACATGGCTATTCACAAACACATTGACTGAATACCTAAGAAATAAAAGATGTTTGAATCAGCTGGTTTACTGTGCCAATGAGATCCACATGCTTCACTTAATCATCAAATTGTCTACAAATTAGGATTTGTTTGCTTTGGGAGATTTCACTCTCCAGCACCTCCTTGGCTCCCCACAAAACAAGCAACATGAGCCATGTTGCTCTCATTTGTGTAAGTAGAGGTTGCCCTTAGAATATTCGCTTCCAAGCGGGAACTATAGAGCTTATGATTCCAGGAACTTCTATGAGCCTGAGAACAAAAGTCGGGAATTAAAGTCTGCTTTATTATTTGGGAGTTGCATGTGGCAGTACACTGCCTCTTCCTCAGATGCTGAATTTGTTTGGCTAAGATGCCTTTGATCCCTACCAGACTACATTTTGCAAGTCTAGCACATTACCCTGACCATAAAAACACAACTCAATTTGAGCCAGAATTTGAGCCAAAAAAAAAAAAAAAAATCCCTCTTAAACTGCTGGAAACAAGTCAGAGAAGCAGTTCTCACAGTTATATATTTGATATCTAGGGTTGATTGATACCATGAACAAAGACAGTGTTTATTATAACATCTAGGTGTTTCTGAGATGTTCTGATGCGAAACTGGTTCAAAACAAGACTAAGAGAACAAACATAGGGCTACAGGCAAATGGTTTCACTAATACAACATTTCTGCTTGCTTTCAAGTTGAAAATGTTAGTTTATTCAAATTCCATTACTTCTCTACATCTTTTAATTACTATTTGTGGAACCAAAGAGTTGTAATCCCAATGTTCCTTATGAACTAATTGATATCTTTGATTTTCTCAGAGGATGTTCAGGATTTTGCCAGGGCAGTCTTTTCAATGGGGCCAGGACTCCACAAACGCCTATCTACTACCCAGAATTGCAGGTACCCAGTAATCCCAGCTCCTGCATGCACTGCTAATAGTGGTGTAAAAGGAAGAAAAGATAAATGGAAAAAGGAAATTGGATTTCCTGCTTCAACTTAGCAGGGATGGCTTCAAGGTTGGAGGGAAAGAATCTGCTATTGTGTGTGCTGCCCTTCTTTCTGTAGGGGGAGGCTTTGACAAACCCTGCCATCTTCTCCACGCTCTTGCTTCTCAGCAACAGCTTGTTGAATTAATAAGGCCAACGTGAGTGCTTAGTTCACAAGCAAACTCAGGCCAGACTTTCTTTTAGAGCTTCAGTGCCACGTGCAAACAAAATCAAGAGAAATCATGGAGCAGAATTTATAACACAGTAAAGACCTCTACCTTGGCAAGCAACCAGTAACAGACTTATTTTAAAGGAACCCTGTAAAATACATAAAAACCTTTCTAATTTCAAAATTATTACATCTGTTTGTTTCATTTTACTTATTTTAATTGTGAGGCAGGAGCAAACTGAGGCAGAGTAGAACTCTGGGATGACTGACAGGTACAGCGTGTGCGTGCCTGTAGTATTAGCTCTATTGCCCTGGCAAGGCAGGCTATCTGCTCTGCCCACACAGATAGCACAGAAAGCAATATAAATCAAGTACTACAACCACCACCAAAACAACAAGCATAGAAAAGAATAAAAATAACATGGCAAGACATGTACCAGGTGACTAGATAAAAGAGCAAGGAATAAAACACGTATTACCCAGAGAAAGACATAAGCAAGCCCTAATGCAACCTGCTTCCCCCACCCTGCTAGCTTCCAGCCTGCAAGGCCGTCACAGTCCCCCGTGTAACCCCTCCTGCTGCATCCAGCCCCAGGAGATGGAGATGCACCAAGACGGGAGTGAGATGCACAAAACCCACCTGGGGAATGGCTGGGGTGGTGGAGACAGCAGGCCCCTGCACAGCCTGTGGCAAGGCACGAGCTGCGTTGGAGAGGCGAAGGGACGATAATCCGTGGAGGGCTGCAAGCGGCAACAGCTCCGTGCCAGCTCTGGCTCCTCCTCCCCTGCTGCCGCTGCCTCGGAAGACGCGGATTCACCCGAGCAGGCAGCAGCAGCAGCCTCGCACTGCAGCTGGAGAGGATCGGAAGGGCTTCCTAGATGCCGTCTTCTCTCTCTGCACTGGGAAGGAGAGTCCCTCTCTGGCAGACAACAGGACAGGCAGCAGGGTGCGAGAGGCACCAGGATCTGAATAAAAACATTTGTGTATTTGCATTGCTTCCACCAATATACCGCTACTTCTCAAAAAACGAGCCAAGAGCATTCCTCCCCGTTCTGGTAAGCACATGCGAGTCAACAGGATGCAGCCTGTGTCTCTGCCTTATGCAGTAGGCTGGGCAGGGCAGACACAAAAGCAGCTTCAAACATGGCATGTTGCTCTTTTGTGCCTTGTAGCATCACACAGAATTAGGGCTGACTAGAAATCCGATAAAAAAAAAAATAAAGTTGCTTTTTGATCAGGCAAAATTTTCCATAAGGACCATGAAGTTGCCCCCTTGCCTGACCCACCTCCCCTT